AACTTTCGAATATTGAGTTTCGGAAAAAGCATAATTTTTCCACTGACAGGACCGCGTTATTCCCCGTTTATTCACCCATTATCTATTTGGGAACTTACCTGATTCCAAATGTTTGCCTTTTAACAACATTTGGCCATGAATAATGTCAACCTTATACTTAAAAAGCAATTCGTGAGTTGGGGTATAGAAATTAATGAAAACTCATAACAGCAGAGTTGAGTTAAATTGGCCTTGATTTGGAAAAAGACTAATTTATAACTTTTAGATTCACGAATGAATTTAAATACTGAGCAGGTTTTATTATTCAATTTTTTGGCCATCAAGAAACCCAGTGAACGATGACTGGTTGGGAGCCAGGCCCTTAGTTCCAGGTGCTCCTGCCTTTCAGAGAGTGCCCTCGGCCACGTGGCCCCCAGGGACGTAGTGAAAAGAGCAGTCCAGACTAGGCATGTGGGCTGGTGCGCTGGGTCCGCTGTTTCCTTTCACCGCCCAGGTGGCATCACAGCCCTGCATTCAAAGCAGTCCTCCGCACAATGGAGTTGCCATCTGCTTCCAGGCTGCCCCGCCCTGACTGCTCGCAGCCCGGGGTGCAAGTCCTCTAGTCCGCAAGCCGGCCGGCTGGCTGCGTGCAACGAGCAGAAAACGTGTTTGCTGCACAAGCATTAAAAACGAGTGATGTCGCTCCTTTTGGTGCAGATGTGGAAAGAAAGCAGAAACTTTTAGGCTGGAAAACAAAACAACCAAAAAAACAAACTAGGGGCAACACAAATGAAGTATGCTAGCATTTGTATAAAATCAAGAGCGGACAGGCACGTAACCAAAAATAAAATAAAATGCAGACTGAGGACTCAGGCAGCGAAGGCTTAACAGCCCAACACTGGGCAACCACAGAGGAGAGCTGATTGTCGCCCAGTAAAATTACTTTATTTCACACAGGGTAGAGTTTCACTCCACTGCGAGGTCGGACTGGTAAATGACACGCCTTAGGTGGAAGAGTGAAGCCAGTTCCCCAAACTCCTCTATCCAACCTGACCTATGGTGGAGATGTCCCTCCTACCCATAGCCCAGTGCCGCCACAGGCTGGCAGACACCCTGAGAATGCAATTAAAGTGAGAGAGGAAGGACAGAAGAAAGGAGAGACAAGGGACATGGACAGAGGGGGATGGAGTGGAAAAAAAGAAACTCTTGCCGTTTTGACCCAGAAAGATCTTGGAGTTTGACAATGCTTCATTAGGTGAGCTTTTAAGGTTATATTCATGAAGGCGGCTGGCTGGCTGGATGCTCTACCCCTTAGCACGCTTCAGAGAGGCCCAGGGCTTGCGCAGCTGGCAGCCACTGCGGGGGACTGGTCCTGCCCGGGAGGGTCTCGACCCAGGTTGGCCTGCCTCCGTTCCTGGCACCGTCCTTCCAGTCGGTAGCCAGTGACCTTGGCCCATGACCATGGCTGGCCACCGTTCCACCCGGGGAGGCCTCGGCCAAGAGCCCCTGTTAGCCCACACTGAAACGGGCCAGGCAGTTCCTCGATGAGCTGCTGGAGCAGAGCACGGCATCCCGAGGCCCCAGGAAGATTAGGATCAGAGTGGACAATTTTCCAGATGTCTCTTTCTTCTCTATAGGGAATTAATCTGTCATGACAGAGCCATTAGCTGGGCAGAACACGTGGAGAAAATACGCATAAGCAGACCCCTGACGTGAAGGAGAGCAGGTAGACTGCAGGAGAGCCGTGGGTTGGAAAAGCCCTGCGAGCGACACCAGACGGGAGAAAGCGAGGACCCTGCGGGACAGCCCAGTCTCCGGGCAATCTCGCTCCACCCTTTGCACCGCTGCCCACATCGGGCCAAGCTCCCGACTCAGGGAGGCAGGGTGGCTTGCGGGGATCCCTTTCTGCTTCCTCTTTCCCATCTTGCGGCTGGGCTCAGAAAAACCATGCCAACGCCAAGACAGCAACCGTGGCCCCTGATTTGCTGTAGAAATTGTCTCCTGACCACCTTAGCTACTGCCCTCTTGCACCGCGAGGGGATGGCTAGTCCATGTCCTGACTCCGTCTTTTTTATTCCTGAAAAATGATTCAGGACACAGGAAACAAGATACAAAGTGTCTCTTTTATGAAGTAGCTGCTGTTTCCAAGTGCTCACTGAGTACAGGCAGTGACTTCTGGCTTGATCATCATACAGCCCTGCCAGGTAATGCAATTTTTATCCAGTGTGGTCAGGTGAGGAAACTGAGGCACAGAAGAGGGTACCAGGCCGTCCTTGGAGTGTGCACCCTCCTTAGATAATACCATCTCATTGTTAAAAAGCTGATGGACACTCACCTCAGCCCTGTGGCCAGTGGGCTTCGTACATCACCTCCTAGAATGAACGGCTAGCCACTCACGGCCATGCAAGAAGCCACTGGGAACAGAGCCCTGGAGCTCCATGTCACA